ACAGTTACCATCTTAACAGTTTTTATGTGTACAGTTCAGTGGCAATAGGTACATTCACACTGTTGTGGAATCATCACCACCATCCGCCTCCAGAACCCTTCATCTTGCAAAACTGAAACGCTGTCCCCATTAAACACTAACTCCCCACTTCCCCTCCCCACCCCCTGGCAGCCACCGTTCTACTTTCTGTCTCGGTGAATCGGATTACTCTGGGTACTTCATATAAGTGAAATCATACAGTATTTGTCCTTTGGTGACTGGTTTATTTCATTTAGCGTAATGTCCTTAAGGTGGAAGAAGAAATTCTTAAATCACTTTAGCTTCAGTTTGTCAAAGGAGGCTTCCTTACCTACTTAAGTAACACTAAATACTAGTTATTTCAATCCTATGTCAGATCTGAAAAGCAATATTTTAAAAATCTTCCTGTATCCACTAATATAGACTTAGCTTTTGGGTTCTGATGGTTTTTCATTCTTTTTAAATTTTTGGTTGGCTATTCATTGGGAAATGTCCCTCCCCCAGCTCTGAGGAAAAAAATGATAGTCCAGTTGAAGCTTTTTTTTCCCTTTCAAATACTCTACCTAGTTCTATAGTTCTCAACTGAGCATGTCTCAGAATTCTAGAACATTCTGGGACCATAACAAAAGTTGACAAAGAATGACTGATACCTGAATTACTGTGTGGGAGAATAACATTACTTTTCATAAACTTAGAAAAACCAATCTTCCTTCCTTCCTCTCTCTTTCCTGTCCTCTCTTTTTCTAATAAGCAATTTTTATTATTTCTTATGTGGGATAATTAACTAACACTAATTGTAATATTACCACAGACACCATAGTGAATGACCTCAAGTGTTTCAATGTTTGCATTTTCTTTTTCATTTTTAAATTTCAGTTTTATGGAGGTATAATTGACAAATAAAACTGTAAGATATTTAAGGTGCACATCATGGTGATTTGATATATGTATACACTATATACTTGTATACATTCCCTCCATCACCTCACATATTTACTTATTTATTTATTTATTTATTTTTTGGTGAGAACAATTAAGTTCTACTCTTTTAGCAAATTTCAATTACAGAATACAGCGTTATCAGCTATAGTTGCCAGGTTTCACATTATGTCCTTAGACCCTATTCATATTATTGTGTTTTCTCTGTGAACCCCTATTTTGACTTACCATACTGACACCTTATAAGATAGCCGCTTTGCTCCCTTGGTTCAGTTCTGTCAGTTCAGTTTACTTTCTTTGGAGGGTAACAAATGGCTAGGGCTGTCCTTGCCTTGAGAGCATTTCAGATTCTGTAGGGAGACAAGGGTAGCCCCAACTAACCAGCTCCGAGGGGCTGAAGAGCAGTGCTAACAGATGGATGGGGGCTTCTCAAACGTGAGATCACCAAACTCGGAAAAGAAGGTGGAGTTTGAGTTGAACCTCTTTATTATTATCCCCAGTAATACCCTTTGTTATTTCTAATTACTAAAGTTTATTATTGTAACATCTGTAGCTTCTTCAAGTTAATTTTTGTCTAGCAAAGATACAAAGATAGTATTTCATAACCTCTTCCCCCTTTACTACATGTTCTAACTTACTATTTTAGATGTTGTTCTACCTAAATTCAGCCATTCCCAAACCCAGCTCTTCCCCGTCTCCCAGTAACTTCTTCCTTCGTAGTATAACGGAACTTATTTGTAGTGCTTTATAGGCCCTTTAAAGCCAGAGCCAACCTCATAATGGCAGGCCATTTCTGTAGGAGGTTATTACATTTCAAGGGAACATAATCTGATCCGTGGCATGTTTGAGGCTTCAGAATTATGAGCTGTGTGGCAGCAGATGGGAAGGCCACGTTTCCAGGCTCAGGATGGGTCTCCCGGCCAAACATGCTATGTATATGTATTCTCCAGTCCACACAGTTTCAACCCTGGACTCCACTTTCTACAGAGTGAATTGGAAGATTTATTACTGGTCCATGTTAGACTATCATTCTGCTGCATTGTAACTTCTTTAAAGAAAATCTAATGAGGGAAGAAAACAGCATGTACTATAGTCTTTTACCAAAAAAAAAAAGTATATATAATACTTCTAGCCATGTTGGAGATAGCATGAAAAATGGAAACTAATTCTGGGTAACCCTCTGTGATGTGACAATATTATCTAATCTTCCCTTAAATCCATCCACCTACACTACTTATCCTACCTGAGTACTGAGAAGTTGAAGAGTTAGATTATCTTATGATACACAGTCACGGCAATTTAATTTTTCTTTCTAGACTGCTATCTCGCAGATTAGAACCTACATGTGTTATAGATATCTGCACACCCACCATTCATAGCAGCATTATTCACAAAAGCCAAAAGGTGGAAGCAACCCAAGTGTCCATCAACAAATGACTGGATAAACAAGATGTGGTATATACATACAATGGAATATTATTCAGCCTTAAAATTCTGGTACGTGCTACAACATGGATGAACCCTGAGGACATTATGCTGAGTAAAATAGTCCAGTCACAAAAAGACAAATACTGGGACTTCCCTGACGGCCTAGTGGTTAAGACTCCGCTCTTCCAATGCAGGGGGTGTGGGTTCCATCCCTGGTTAGGGAGATAAGATCCCACATGCCACGCGGCCAAAAAAAAAACACAAAAAACAACTCTTCTGAAACTCTTAAATGGTTCCTTTAAAAAAAAAAATAAAAAAGACAGATACTGTGTGAGGTACCTAGAGTACTCAGGTTCATAGAGACTGAAAGTAGAAGGGTGGCTTCCAGGGGCTGGGGGAGGGGGGGGGATGGGGAACAGCGTTTCAGTTTTGCGAGATGCAGAGGATTCTGTAGATGGATAGTGATGGCAGCCTTCCAACGACGTGGATGTTTCTGTGCCACTGAACTGTACGCTTACAAATTGTTAAGAGGGTGAATGTTATATATATTTTACCACCGTTTAAAAAATAATTGTTCAGTTTCAGGTTTTTTCTTTTTTTAAAGTTAAAGAAAAACAAACAAAAAGAGTAAAGACATGTACCTAGGGTGGAGAGAGGCAAAAAGAAAGATTCTTTTTACCTGAATTTTAGATCTGGCCTGAGAAATGGACGTCTGTGCTTCTGCCATAGGTGGGAAAAGATGCCACACACCCTGCCACTTCCTTCCATCCGTGGGTCTTAACCCCTCTTGAAGTCACTAACATAGAGCAGCAAGTTCCACACAGCCCCCTGAACTATCACCAGCCAAATAAACGTCCCCAGTTTATAAAGGACACTGCCCCTTCTAACCTGGTCAGCTGCCTCCCCAGGAGCGTGATCAAGCCAGACCCCCTTCTGTGTGTGACAGGGGCTTTCCTGAGACATGAGCTCTGTCTCCACGCACCCATCCACTCTTTTTTTAAAATGCTTCAAGGCCAGTAAGTAGAGCTAGGAAACACTGGTGAGCATGACCTACTGCCCAGCAAGGAGCCTCTGCTGGAAGCTGGGGCAGAGGCCAGTGTACTAAGGAAATGACTTCTTGCTCCTTCTGATACTGAAAGGATGCACTGAGAAATCAAAGGCCTTTGCATAAAGGAAAGAGCAGGGAAGGCCAGGTTCAGCACAGGAGGGCACTAAGGATGTCCTGAAGACTTCGTCTCAAATCATCTCACAGCTTACGCCTAATTCTAGTCCTAGGATTCTCCACATTTTATAATAAATAGACTCTTGGCTATTTCAACAGGGGACCATACCGCCAGCTTCAAGGGCCCCCAAGTGAATTCCTGAGCCAGACAGAGAAAAGAGGTCAATACTGTCAGCTCAAGAATTCAATAATGCAGAGAGCTGCTACTTCATTCCAGAGCCCTGCCTGCCCACTCTCTTATCTAGTCAGCTCTATCTTTGACCTATTTTCTCTGCTCCTTTAAAACAGATTAAAAAATGATGCATTTCTGTTGCCCCCCCTTTTTTTTTTTGTGGTGGGGAGGACAGCATTCTTTTCTTTTAACCCCGGTTTCCTAATTATTTCTTCTAGCAAATAGAGGTTTCTTAATTTACTTTCATGTTTCTAACCAGAGAGTACTTAGAAATGTAATTTTTTACAGTTTCTATGATGTTCGGTGACCTGTAGCTCTAAAGCCATGCTTTCACTTACCTTCTTATAACTTGCTAGCTTTATTTTATTTTTTTTTTAAAGATTTTTTCGATGTGGACCATTTTTAAAGTCTTTATTGAGTTTGTTACAATATTGCTTCTGTTTTTTTTTGTTTTGGCTTTTTGGCCACAAGGCACGTGGGATCTTAGCTCCCCGACCAGGGATCGAACCCGCACCCCTTGCGTTGGAAGGCGAAGTCTTAACCACTGGACCTCTAGGGAAGTCCTAACTTGCTAGCTTTATATTTTCCTCAAAGTAACACAGTTCCTGTTCACTGGAAATGTGCTTTGTAGAAAGTCTATCTGAATATAGCTTTATGCTTTGGCTCTCTGGAATCTGTTCCACAATGGCCAACACTTAATTCAGAGATCCGAAGAACGAAGGCCACCTCACAACACTTGTGGAACGAAAGCTGGAGGGAAAAATAAAGATAAAAGTCTAAGGATGTACACTATTTAATGATGTTATTAAATAAAAGGCACTTTGTCTCAGAAACCTCCAGTTAATCTCAGGTAACTGAGTTCAGGAGCTCAGGTTTTTGTTTCAATGGCGACTCATAATACTGGGCTTCAGCAGAATTGCTCCACCAGGGGAAACCAGGCAGATGTGCTGGAGGCAAGGCGCTGCCGGGAGGCCAGGAGCGAGGCCTCCAGATAGCATGTTCCCCGCATGAGGTCACCATCCTCTGGGATGTCTGCCAGGATACGGCTCGCATGCCTCTCACACTTTTTTGCTACTCAGCTCAAGCTCATCATTTCCAAAGCACGTTCACTTGCATTATCTTATTTCTCAGTGATTCTAGCAGGTTTTGAAATGTACACACGTCCCCAAACACAAAACAGTGCAGTGTGGGGAGAACCATCCCTCTGTGGACCATTCTTACCTCTTCTCTGCCCTCCCTGAAGGACGAATTTAAAGGCCCTCCTCGCCCAGAAGGGGAAGACTTGGTGGTATTTTCTTGCTGCCCAAACAGCTCCTCGATGCTCTTTGTATCAATTTGGTAGTGATGCTGCTCCCTGGCTGCCAAGGTCCAGATGTTGGTTTTGCCACGAACTTGCTCCTCTGGAATGGTTTTCCAAAAAAAGCTCCTTATCCGCTTTTTCTTACCGAGGTGGCTGTAGCCGTTCAGGTGGGAGGTTGGGGGTAGTCCTGGGGGGGGGAGGGGGGACCGGAGGCCCCCCAGGCAGTGGAGGGGGAGGGGGAGGTGGAGGAAACCCTTTTCCTGAGTATGGGCATGGTGGAGGTGGAGGGGGTAGAGGAGGAGGTGGTGGTGGCGGCGTTTGCCCAATCATGAATCCAGCTGTCGTGGCAATATTCCCATTTCCTTTATCACTGACCAAGGAGACACAATTCATAACATGCATAGTACTGTTGCCTTCTAAGGAGATAATTTCTTGACCTTGGGGAAGCAGACAAGCAGACACCGACATCAAATTTGTGTCATACTGTTCCGCCCACTAGTCTGCCGCCAGAGCAAAGGCAACTGCGTTGTGTGTCATCTTCCAAACCTGCAAAGATAAAACAACTTTAAAATCAGTGCAGGAAAACATTGCTATACTAGCGACTCCCTTCCGAGGCCAGTGCCAGTCCTCCCAGAATAGTTGGATATTAAAATCAATGAGGGGCCACACATCCAAAAGAGAACTAAAAGGGACTAATACTTTTCTAAATGTGAACCAAATTTTACTACCTGGAAATGCTGCCAAAGCAGCAGCAATAAATCCAACCTGGAAACCTTCCATTCATCAATAAAACACATATTTACCAAGAACCCACAATAGGTTCAGCAAGTACTGCTCACTTTCTGAACAAGCTACTTGTTCATTAACTGGCTCGTTTTCTTTGGGCAGTGGATCCCCAACCCCTGGGGAAATTACCCAAATGGCTGCAGCCCTAGTGACTCTGTCTTTTTCCAGTACGGACATGTCCCCTACCCATTAGTGGGTCAAAGGGCATCCTCCACCTTGCACATCATAGGCAGGGCATTCGGGGATGATAAAATAATTGCCAAACTCCTTCCCCTGGAGTCAGTGCCATCGTCTTCTCCCTACACTTGGTGATTCTGCTCCCTCGCAAATAGAGAAAAGAACGCCGGACATGAAGATAAAAGGTTCCAGCTCTAAATCAAGCTTTACTGCTTACAATTTTAGAAAAGCCATTTTGCCTCACTAGATTTGGAGTTTCTCATTTGTAAAATTAGGAGGTTGGCACTGACCTCCACCGTCACTTCCGATGCAATCGTTTTGGGTTCTGGTTAAGCTCTCTGGAGCTTAACTCTCTGGAAACCACCAGAACTTCTCAGTGCCTCTTCTGCTTCTTCTGTGACACTACCAGCAGAGGAGACACACACACACAAGGGGATGCTGCCCGAATCACACCTGCCACACGGCTACCCCTTATCCACTCGGTCACTGACTTATCTTGGTGGCTTGTGTTTTTATTGACCTTTAAATGTTCGTTTTTGTTCATTTGTTGTGGACCTGATGTGAAAACAGGGGTCAAAATAACTACAGTTCTTCAGATGTGAGGACAGGTAAGTGGAGATGTAGAACACGGGGCCCTGTGTAGGCTTGTGGAATGAGCACCCCAACTATTTGGGTGTGTGAAAAGGGGGCTGTTTCATCTAGGTCATAAAGGGTCACGTGGAGGGGCTTTTTAGACTGGACTTCTGAGAGGAATTAGCTTTCTACAGCATTACTGTTCCAAGCTCATAGTTACACATCTTCATCAAACAATGCAGAATTCTGCAGGAGTAAATGGTCTGATATCACTAATTCAAATATTATTAAATCTTTTACACAGAATCATACACAAAAGGCAGGACTGCCTTGGGAGTAAGAGGGGAGACTCCAAGAACAGACTGCTTTTCCTCAGATCCCAGTTCTGCTACTTCTTTAGGTGTGCAACCTGGGGTGAGGTAGTTTATCTAACCTATGTTTCAGCATCCTCCTCTATACTATAACCATATACCATTCCATTGGTTTGTATGAGAATAAATGAACTCATTATGTGTACACCCTTACCAAGATGGTACATAGTTAGCCATTATTAACAACTGGTGTCACAGGTACATAAGATTTCTCTTTATTTTCACAGGCACTACATTTGCTTTAAAATATGTATTGGGTTTATAGGTAAAACGCTAGGTTACCCTTGGCTACTAGAATCATACCTTTAATATTTCCATTCTCTGCTTTCTAAGTTACTAGGTTTGTGAGCTCTGTCCCTTTTCAATACTCAGTGATTGTATATTGTTATCTCTACATTACAAGAACAAATGTTTTTATGAAACATTTAAATATTTAAGTTCTGAAAATTACGTATGGGTAGAAAATAGCATTTCCAACTATTTACTGGATAATTTTTTTTTTTAGCATTTTAACCGCTTTTAAGTGTACATCAGTGGCATTAAGTACGTTCACGTGTTGTGCCGTGTTATCATGGGATAATTTTTTAGAAAGTAAAACTGAAAATATTTATCCAAGCCAACTTACAGCTCACTTGAGATGCAACTAGCTTTTAAAAGGAGTTTTCATAATTATCATTAGGGGCATAGCTAGGCTGCTTTCATAGTTGGCATCCCTAAAGCAAATGACTCACTGTCAATTACAGTTTATAGTTACATCTGAACTCTTCTTTTCTCAAGACTGTACAGGTAATCTTGGCAGTTTATCCTTACATATTTTAAAATACTTCTGTACATGAAATATCTCATGTATTGAAGAATTGCTAATCCTCCAATTCACCTCCAATTCCAGATATGCTGACTTGTTTATAGATTATCTCTGTTAAGAACGGTGATAAGCTAAAAAAGTCTCCAACCTAGAAAGCAATAACTCACTCAGTGCTGCATTAGTATATGCACAGCTGTGCCATTAAACCTCACAGAGCAAATGTAGAGATACTAAGAAAGAGTGAAAAAGACCATGCCCTCGGAAGTCGTGCAACACCATCTTCTAATACCAAAGCCCCAAAGCATGTGAGTCCTTTAGAGTCTAGTCTGTTTTGCAGAGGAAGTACCAGATTAAAGCTTGTCCAAGTAAAAAGTGACACACATTAGCTATACATCAGCAGGATTCTAACCACTGTCACGTCTCAAGAAAGAATGTTGTTTTAGAAAGTTAAAGGAACAAAAGAAAATTTACAACATTGTTCCTGGTATGTTGTCTGGCTAATTTTTTCCCAGGGTAACATACAAGGATCCTAGGCCCCCAACAGCTTCTAATGAATGAGTTCTCCAGCAATGATTAGCTAAGATGCTAATGCTTTCACTACAAGCCTCAATAGGGCTTTGATAGGGTTTTCCCCCTTGGGCCAGGATTTCCAATGTCAAAGAGATGGCAGGAAAAAGAGAGTGCAGACACACATTCTAACCCTTTCCACAGTCTCACGAGATATTAAAACAGAGGATACACAAAGAATATTCGATTAACTATGCTACTGTCCGCAGTAAAGATGCAAACGCATACTCTCCAAATATGCTAGGAGAACATAGGTGATGCAGCAGCCCCAAAGACAGCTGTTTCACACAGCGGGCAGCCGCCGGCAAGGACAATGGAATTAGCCTTAGGCTGTATCTGGAAAATGTCAAGTGTCCCATCAATCTCCCCAGGGCAAACAGAGACAGGCTTGTATTTAACATCTCACCTACAGGTTGGGGACCTCAGCAGCAGCAGGGCGGATGGCTGCTAAGGTTGACAAATGCCCAGCCCTGAGTAAATTGTACAGCTGTCACAGTAAGTCTCTGAAGATGAGAACTTCTGTTTGAGTCCCCTGGGTGCTAATCATGACCCATTGGGGGTAAGTCCCAGTGAAGGCCCCTCCTGGGGAGGCTACTAGCTCAGCTGAGCATCTCCCAACTGTGTGGATTTTTAATAAGGGGATGCTGTGGCCATGTACCTAGCCTTTAGCTGATCAGCAAGCAAAAAGTCTTAGAATGAGAAGGAGAATAAGGGTCTTCAAAGAAGCCCTGTGGCCCCTCCTAAACTCTCTTGTCTAAATAGCCAGGATTACTTTGCTCGTGGTGTCAGAAACATCGTTGAAGTTCTATTCTCTTCAAGGGAGTGGGTGGGAGGGAAGAAAAGAGTAAGTATGCTTAATTTCACAGTGTATTTAGGAGGAAAACACGTTTCTGAAAGCCCGTTTAGGGCTCAGAGCTATCCTGAAAAACAGTTGCTCAGCTGGTCACTCACCCCGTAGGTCAGCAATAATCAGAAGTAAACTCCACACCAGAAAAACCTTTTCCCCTTGATTCCTGACATGTGTCACAGATGAGGTGGGATCAGGAAAGGCTGGCCCACACCCTTCTGATGACAAACGGGGGCAGAGCAAGCCGGGTGTGGAGGAGAGGCAGAGGAACACACGGCCCTATTTTACTGGGGGGAGAAGAGAGGGTTGGGGAAGGGACAGGCCATTTTTAAATATGGAGTTTTTGCTCTCCACCAACTCACTGGGAACAGGCTCCTCCCCAACCACCTATCTTTCAAAATCTTTCTGGGTTATTGAACACAGCACGTCAACCCCACAGTCAAACCAGAGCTGGCAACATCCAGCTCTTCACCTTGGCACTCTCGCCAGCAGTGGAAGGACCCAAGATGTTTCCAGCCCGCGCGTTTAATCTGCCGCCGCACAACAGAAGCAATCCACAGATGCCCCCGAGCGCCACACCCTGGGAGCAGAGGAAGAAACGCCTGTTTCTGAATGCGCATTTTCAGCTTCTCTCAATGTCCCCAAACAAAGCAAACGGGTGCCAAAGGATGCTCTAGAGAGGAAAGGAAGCGCTCGCGACTCATTCCAGGAAGGCAACTGTGGGTCAGGAGACGAGAGGGGGGTCACAGACGGCCGAACAGCAGGCGCAGTTTCTGTGCAAACAGCTGTTTGAAAACGGACTCCTGGGTCCTGAAGAAACTCGGCGTGGGGGACACCGGGGTCCCGATTTCTTTCGCAGAGTCTGGACGCCCTAGGTCTCTGAAGTGGCGGGCGGTCCACCGCGTCCTTCCGCCCCCAACCCTCGGCCCGCGTCCCGCCCCAGCCACTCACCAAAGCGCCACCGGCTCGGCCGCACGAAAGACTCGGAGGGCGCCGCGTCCGTCCGAGTCCCCGGGGAGTCCGCGGGCCGCCAGCCCCAGCGCGTCCTTATCTGGGCGGCTGCGGAAGGAGTGAGAGAGCGGGCGCCGGTGCGCGGCCCAGACAGACGCCCACACGCGCCGCGCAGGCTCTGCGGCGGGGCCGAGGCGCGCGCCGGGGAGGGGCCGCCGCCCGCCGCGCGAGGACACGCGGGTCCACGGGGCGGACGCCGGGGCACGGCGGAACCCTCTACCTCCCGCGGGCACCGAGCGCGCGCGCGTCCTCAGGCAGAAGCTTAGTGGAGCTGCAGCCGCACTAGCTCGCCCCTCCCGGAGCCCCGCAGGGATCGCCGGCCCCGCCCCTCGCCTCGAGGGCCCCCGCCTCCCCCGCGGATCCCCGAGGCCCCGCCCCCTTCGCGGGGGGCCGCCGAACCTGGCTCCTCCGAGCGGAGTGGGGGGCTCACTAGGGAAGGTGTCACTGTGCTTGAAGCGAAAGGGGGATCTCCCAGTTTGCGGGCTCCGCCCCCTCCTCGAACCTCCGCGGCGACACCTCCCCACGTCTGGGGTCCGGGTCCCGAGCGCGGGGGAGAGAGCCTTACGGCCGCAGTGCGGAGCAGCCAAAAGGAGCGGGGAAGAGCCGGCGAGAAAAACACAGAGGGGAGACTCCTGGTGTTTGGTCGGAGGATTAAACCGAGAGCCCGGTGTCCCCGAGCTGGGGCACTGAAGAGGCTGGAGATGACCCGCCAGCCCACCCACTTCCTCCCTAAACTTCCACAAGCGCAGGGCTCAACTTCTAAGCTGAACTTCGCACGGGCAGAGCGAACGTGCCAGAGCGAGTACCGCCTTGTCCTCGGTCCGTATCACCCGGACGCGGTCCTGGCCAGCCCCGCACCACAGTCAGGAGGGGCAAGTCGTGGCTCCCCCGCTGGCCAGGGACCCGGCGCGGGCGCCCCCAGTTGCTCGCTCTTGGACGGGCGGGGATCAAGTGGGAGCTCAGTTTAGCCAAAAGTCCTGGCAGCTAAAGCTAAATCAGCCGGCCCAGGTTTAACCCGGAGGCGGCCCGGGACCTAGCTGGTCCAGACGCGCGCGTCTTCCCCTCAAAGGACGGATGGCTGTCCTCTGCGGCTCAGGGAGTGCAGCCGCCAAAGTCGGGGGAGCTCAAACCTCCCCAGACTTCCCGGTGAGGCTCGAAGGCAGCCGAGATTCAGTGCCACAGCCCTCGGTCCTGACGGATCCCCGCCCCCGGCCCTCCGGAGCCGAGGAGGCTCGGTCCCCGGGTGCCCCTGAGCAGCGATCGCTCTGCCTGGGCCGTGCGACTCACTCACCCGCGGCTGGCGCTCCCAGCGCGCGCTCCTCTCTCCCCGCCGCCCGCGGTCTCCCAGCGCCGTCGCCTCCTCCTGGGTCACTGCAGTCAGGGCTGCTCGGGGCCGCGAGGGGGCAGGGCGGCGCGGGGCGGGGCGCGGCCGCTGCCTCAGGTAACAATGCTGCAGACCAGGCTGCTCCCAGCGCCAGCTGCAAAGGGCAGCACGCCCTTTCCAGCTCGGCCCTTCCTCCCTCCCGCCCTTGAGCGCCAACATCGGCGCTGCGGCGCTCACCTTCACCTGCGCGGGGCCCCGGAGGCCTGGGAGCCGCCACCCGGCAGGCAGCTGCCAGCACCTGAAGGCTGGAGCGGGGCGGCCACCGAGGAAAGTAGGGGCGGCGGCGGGGGACAGAGATGTACGGACTGTGAAGAAGAGCTAGGTATCCTCGTGGAACCAGCCAGGGGAGGCGGCAAGCTGGATATGAACCGGCAAGTGGCTCCACAAAGGAGCCTCTGCGGCAGCCTCCCCGACACCCTCTCCTGCGCACACACATGTGCGCACACGCACACTCATTCACGCTCAGCTCAAACCCCGCGCGCACACAGGCCACCCTCTGCCCAACACACTCGTTTTTCCCTGGAGCAGGAGGCAGCATCTGGGTGAACTGTCCCAGCCCGCGTGGCCGAGTCCCAGCCGGGCCGGAGCTTCCCAAAGGTCAGCTTCTCCCTGGGACCTGCCATCCTGCAAGTTTGTTACTTTTCTTTTCTTTTCCTTCTTTCTTTCCTTCTTTCTTTCTTTTTCTTTTTTTTTAATCTCCTCAATGATGATGGTAACAGAAACCTTTCAGTTATATATAAAAGAAAAAGTCCACTCCAGGACTGATCACATGAACAGATGCTGTCTGGGAAAGGCTCCTCACAGGAGGAAACCGGGGAATGGTTTTATCGCATCTTTTTTCAAAGTGACTTATGATGCCAGGCAGTGAGAACCGAGTAATCAAAGAAAACCTATCCGCAGAGAACCGACTGATCTGAAATCAGCTGCAGGGGTGGGGAGGCGCCCTCTGCGGGGATGAAGTCATTGCTGCCTTTGGCTCTGTGCTCCCAGTTAACAGACCAGGGCTTATCCAGCCTCTGGAGCCTGATGACTTCCGCCTCTCCACCCTGGTCCACAGCCCCTGAACTCACAGGACAGAATTCTCAACCTCCACAGGAATAGAAAAAGAGACGCTATTAGGGTAAAAACTGAAAACAAACAAACAACCAAAAAGCAAAATTCTGCCCACCAACAGCCCATTTTTTAGCCATGGACCGGGCTGACGCTAACCATCAAGAGAAGTAGATCCAACTAAGACCACAGAAAATCTCAAGGAGTGAGAAGTGTAATAAAAGAGAAAGCCCCATGCTCGGGGACTTAATATTAACCCCAAAGGAATACTGACTGCACAGGCAAAAGTTAAATTACAGAATATCAAAGTGAGGGCCTAATGGCATCCTCTCCTTTTCTTTTATGTCAGTCTCGCCAGATGAGGAGTCGAGCCACTGCACACTTCCTGCTTGTCAAGTCCCCCTCCAACCTGGGCTTCCCTACAATGTACTGAGTGTGCATTCTAAAATCAGTCACTTTTTTGAAGGGTCAAGTCCAGTGACCCGTCCTCAGCCCCTCAGCCCTTTGATGTCCTGCAGCATTCTGGCCTACAGGCCTTCTCTCTGCCTCTTCTGCTGACCCTTCTTGTCCTTTGAGGACGGTAACCAGATTCTTCCAACTCTTTATTTCCCATTATCCCATGGGTACTGCCTTCTGACTTCAACCTGAAGGGGCCCAGATTTTGTGGGGCCTGAAGCTTGTGTAACTCATGAGGGAGTTTTAAAAGAAAAACAATAAAAACTTATACACCAACACAACAGCAGCTACGCCCTTTTGGAAGTGTCTGGGGAAAGTTAGAGGCACGAAAACTTGAGCTCCGAGGTAAACCCACTTCTGATTTCACCTCTATGTCAGGGATTCTTGAATCCATATTGTCCCTGTAATGATTCAAGTCCAAATTCATTGTCCAAAAGTCAACTCCTCTGTCTCTCAAAACTACTACTCTTCCGGCCTGCACCCCTTACTTAAAGATCTGACTTTTAAAATTCGAAATCCCAGCTTTCCCTTGGGTTCTTTTCCTCTTTTACATTTTTTATATCCAAGTATTTGCCAAATTTGTTGCTCTTTCCCTAGTAAGATCTCTTCCATCTGTACTTTACATCCACTGCCACTACACGTGCCCTAATTAGAGGAAAGGGGAACTGATGTTCATTTGCTGTTGGCTATGTGTCAGGCATCACACTTGATTCTCACAACCATCCTAGAAACCCTACCTTCTGTGTTGTCTGGCTTAGACAAGTGAAATCGGACTGGTGCATCCACTGCCTCAGCCATCTTTCTGCCTCTCCCCTCTTCTCCCTACTCTGCTGTCAGGTCAGTGTTTTTAAAAGTCTGATTTTGGGCTTCCCTGGGGGTGCAGTGGTTAAGGATCCGCCTGCCAATGCAGGGGACACGAGTTCGAGCCCTGGTCCGGGAAGATCCCACATGCCTCGGAGCAACTAAGCCCGTGTGCCACAACTACTGAGCCTGCGTGCCACAACTAGTAAATCTCGCACGCCTGGAGCCCATGCTCCGCAACAAGAGAAGCCACTGCAGTGAGAAGCCCACACAGCACAACGAAGAGTAGCCCCCGCTCGCTGAAACTAGAGAAAACCCGCACGCAGCAACGAAGACCCAAAGCTGCCAAAAATAAATAAAATGAATTTAAAGAAAAAAGTCTGATTTCACCACACTACGCACCTGTTCAAGCCTTCTGTAGATTACGTAGGTGCCTACGGGGAAGGCTGCCTCTAGCAGCATGCCTCCATCTTCACGATGTGAAGCGCCCCATTTCACTCTGTTTGTAGATGTTTTTTTTGGTGTTTTTTTGCGGTACGCGGGCCTCTCACTGTTGTGGCCTCTCCCGTTGCGGAGCACAGGCTCCGGACGCGCAGGCTCAGCGGCCACGGCTCACGGGCCTATCCGCTCCGCGGCACGTGGCATCCTCCCGGACCGGGCACGAACCCGTGTCCCCTGCATCGGCAGGCGGACTCCCAACCACTGCGCCACCAGGGAAGCCCCTGTAGATGTATTTTTGATGCATTTGCGGGTGGAAGTGAGATCCACATCCTTTTACTCTGCCATCTTGATTCCCTCCCACTTCACTCGAGCAGCATTTTGTGCTACCCCTGAATGTGACAATGCTTACTTTGATTCTTCTTTTCGGTGTTGTGCATGTGAGGTGGCCAAGAAGTACTTGAATAGAGCAGAACACAGCTCTCATGTAGAGTCAAGATCCTGATGCATTGGATTGGAGGCTGCAAATCCAGAGGACGATTTATTCTTCATTTATTAATTGTGAGCCACACCTTCATCTCACCTAAGATCGTGCTTGGGAGTATACACTACCAAATGTAAAATCGAGAGCTAGTGGGAAGCAGCCGCATAGCACAGGGAGATGAGCTCGGTGCTTTGTGACCACCTAGAGGGGTGGGACAGGGAGGGTGGGAGGGAGACGCAAGAGGGAGGGGATATGGAGATATATGTATATGTATAGCTGATTCACTTTGTTATACAGCAGAAACTGACACACCATTGTAAAGCAATTATACTCCAATAAAGATGCTAAAAAAAAAAAAAAAAGGACGCGCCATTCATCTGTATCTCAGCAACCTGCCAGCCACCCTGTCTGCGAGGAAGGCTGGAGAGACTCCTGAAGCCAAGCCGCCCAAAGTCAGCGCAGCCCTGGAGCTTGTGGCTTGGAGCTGGCTGTTGCTGCTACGTCCTGGGCTCCTGAGCCTTGGTCGGTGGCCAGCCCACACTCCTGCAAGCAAGCCACACCTCCTGGGAGTGTGCCAGTGGCTCAGAGTGGCCTCCCGGGTGCCGGCTGCAAGCCCTACTGAAGAATTCTGTTTGCAGCTTGCTCCTCCCTCTCCCCAGGCTGTCCCTTCCAGATCGCTCCATTTCCTTTGCCCAGTTCATTTCCTTTCTTCCAGCTTCACCTCCTCAGCCCTGAGAAGCTTTCATTTTCTCCTACATCAAGCGTTTTGGGTTTGAATCTGTCATTAGGAGCCATGAAACAAACTTTCAAACCAAAATGAAGCAAATGCCAGGATGCATTCTAAAGAAGACCTCACAGCTCTAAGACAGGCTTATTTGCTCAAAGAGTAAGTCTAATCCATGAGCTGACTTCATGGGCCCTTTGGGGACCACAGTGGACACACTGAAACGAGTCCCCTCTGGTATAGGATTAAGGCATCAAACTCATTTTTATTTTTTTATTTTATTCTATTTTTTTAACATCCTTATTGGAGTATAATTGCTTTATAATGGTGTGTTAGTTTCTGCTGTACAACAAAATGAATCAGCTATACATATACATATATCCCCGTATCCCCTCCCTCTTGCGTCTCCCTCCCACCCTCCCTATCCCACCCCTCTAGGTGGTCACAAAGCACCGAGCTCATCTCCCTGTGCTATGTGGCTGCTTTCCAAAGCTATCTATTTTACCTTTGGTATACATGTCCATGCCACTCTCTCACTTCGGCCCAGCTTACCTTTCCCACTCCCCGTGTCCTCAAGTCCATTCTCTAGGTCTGCGTCTTTATTCCTGTCCTGCCCCTAGGTTCTTCAGAACCATTTTTTAATTTTTTTTTAGATTCCATATATATGTGTTAGAATATGGTATTTGTTTTTCTCTTTCTGACTTACTTCACTCTGTATGACAGACTCTAGGTCCATCCACCTAACTACAAATAACTCAATTTCCTTTCTTTTTATGGTTGAGTAATATTCCATTGTATATATGTGCCACATCTTCTTTATCCATTCATCTGTTGATGGACACTTAGGCTGCTTCCATGTCCTGGCTATCGTAAATAGAGCTGCAATGAACATTGTGGTACATGACTCTTTTTGAATTATGGTTTTCTCAGGGTATATACCCAGGAGTGGGATTGCTGGGTCATGTGGTAGTTCTACTTTTAGTTTTTTTTGTTTTAGTTTTTGTTTTTTGTGGTACGCAGGCCTCTCACTCTTGTGGCCTCTCCCGTTGCAGAGCACAGGCTCTGGACGCGCAGGCTCAGCGACCATGGCTCATGGGCCCAGCCAGTCCGCGGCATGTGGGATCTTCCCGGACTGGGGCATGAACCCACGTCCCCTGCATCGGCAGGTGGACTCTCAACCACTGCGCCACCAGGGA